AATTCCCCCCGGACGCTATTTTTAGAACAAAAAGGAGGACATGTCCGGGTAAATCTGGACGAATGGTAACCCTAATTTTTCTGATTTATTTTTGTAAGTGAAATATCTGCATGATTCTATCATTTGAAAGCAGGCTGCTGCTCCCCTGGTAGTAACTTGATTCATGTCCTGCTGGAGCAATTAAAAAAAAAATTAATGGAGATATACCTATCTCCTAGAAGTGGAAGGGACCTTGAAAGGTCGTTGAGTCCAGCCCCCTGCCTTCACTAGCAGGACCAAGTACTGATTTTGCCCCAGATCCCTAAGTGGCCCCCTCAAGGATTGAGCTCACAACCCTGGGTTTAGCAGGCCACTGCTTTAAACCACTGAGCTATCCCTCCCCCCCCTCCCATGCCATACTGCAGACCGGTCTCTCGTGACAGTGATTGACTGGCACAGTGCAGGCTGTAGCGCTTCTACTCCATCTTTGAAATCAGTGCCTAAATAAGGAGAGCCCAGAAAAACTCTGTCCGTTGGCTATTTACACAATGTGGTGACGTGAACACCCCTAGCTGAGCCATCTCCTAGCGGACTGCCATTTAACACAGTAAAGACCCAAGCTAAGGAAACTAGAATGTAACACCGCCCAGGCTCCAACAACGTCACAGTCTGACAAGCCCAGGGAGTGAGGAAAGTAGGAGTTACAATAACGTCCCCTTCTTAACTTCCCCACCCGGAGGGTAGTGGGCTAGGGGACAGAGTACCAGACTAGATCTGCAACTGACCTGCTGCGTGTCCTTAGACAGGTCACCTTCCCCCTTTGTCTCAGTCTTCCCATCTGAAAAATGATTCTGATTCTGACCCACCTAGGTAAAGCACTTGAGAAGTGCAGATAGAAAGTGCTATGTAACAATCACTCATTTTAGAGAGGGGTAAACTTAGCTGCAGCCTTAACTATGGAAAGGCAGACACCTGATCAGAATTGGAATCTCCATCCTTAGAGGTTTTTAAGGCCTGGCTTGACAAAGCCCTGACTGGGATGATTTAGTTGGGGTTGGCCCTGCTTTGAGCAGGGGGTTGTCAGTGATTTTCAAACTTTTTTTTGGCGAACCAGTTGAAGAAAATTGTTCATGCCCACGACCCAACAGAACTGGGGATGAGGGGTTTGAGGTGTGGGAGGGGGCTCAGGCTGGGGCAGAGGGTTTGGGTGCAGGGGTGAGGGCTGCGGGGTGGGGCCAGGATGAGGGGTTTGGGGTGCAGGAAGGGGCTCTGGGTTTGGGGGGGTTCAGCTGGGGCAGGTAGTTGGGGTGCGGGAGGGGTTCAGAGCTCTAGGCTCGGGGTGCAGGCTCTGGGGTGGGGCCAGGGATGAGGGGCTTGGGGTGCAGGAAGGGGCTTTAGGTTTGGGAGGGCTCAGGGCTGGAGCAGGAGATTGGGGCACAGGCTTACCTCAGGCAGCTCCCGGTCAGTGGCGCAGAGGGGTTGCTAAGGAAGGCTTCCTGCCTGTCCTGGCACCGCAGACCGTGCTGTGCCCCAGAAGTGGCCAGCAGCAGATCCGGCGTGCAAGTGGCTTCGTGCAGCTCTTGCCTGCAGGCACCAGCCCCCAGCTCCAGAGTGTGATGATGATGCTCGGGGCGGAGGCAGTGCGCAGAGCCCCGTGGCCCCCCCCCGCCTAGGAGCCGGACCTGCTGTTGGCTGTTTCTGGAGCACAGCGCGGTGTCAGAACAGGTAGAGACTAGCCTGTCTTAGCCGGACAGCACCGCCGATGGGACTTTTAATGGCCCAGTTGGCGGTGCTGACCAGAGCCACTGTGACCCAGTGCCTGACATTCTGCGACCCAGTACTGGATCGCAACCCACCGTTTGAAAACCACTGGACTACATGACCTCCTGAGGTCTCTTCTAACCCTAATCTTCTATGATTCTATGATAATTCTGAGTTAACATGTTAATCGGTAACAACCATCGGAACAATTTACCAACAGTTGTGGTGGATTTTCACTGGCAATTTTTAAATCAAGACTGGATGTTTGGCTAAAAGTTCTGCTCTAGCTCAATTAAGAAACCTCCCAAACCTTCACCCAAACTTCAAAAGCAAGAACGTTTGAGTCATGGTGACTTTTGTCATGCTTCACATTCCTTGATTCGGTAGAGCTATGGAAGCTGCGGTAACAGCGCCGACAAGGTATTGAGCTGCACTAGCAGAAGGCTAGACTCTAGAACGAGAGAGCAGTTCTGTAACTGTATAAACCCAATACAGGATACTGGGTGCATTTCTGGGCACAGTCCCAGCAAGCTCATTCCTGCAGGAGACATTAACAAAGAATTTAGGAGAGGATGAAAGGTTTAGGTAGGGTTACCATATTTAAAAAATAAAAAAAGAGGACACTCCACGGGGCCCTGGCCCCGCCCCTTTCCCACCCCCAGCCCTGCTCCAACTCCACCCCTTCCCCACCCAACTCCGCCCATTCCCGAAAGTCCCCACCCTAACTCCCCCTCCTCCCTCCCAGCCACGCGAAAAGGGCTGCCCAAGCGCTACCGGCTTCACGGTTTGCCAGGCAGCCCCCAGACCCTGCGCCCCCGGCCGGTGCTTCCCCAGCGCAGCTGGAGCCCGGGAGGGGACGCGCCCAGCCGGGGGCACAGGGTCTGGAGGCTGCCCAGCAAACCATGAAGCCGGTAGCGCTCGGACTTCGGGCAGCCCCTATGCCTCCGGACCCTGCGCCCCCAGCCGGGCACTCCCC